GGATCACCTTACTTGATGCATCAAGACTATCCTTATTTTCCTCACAAGAATCACACTATGCTGGCTGTGTTTCTACATTTGGATGATACAACGCCGGAAAATGGTGGTTTGGCGATATATCCTGGCAGTCATAAACTAGGACCGTTGAAGGATATTAAAGTAATCGATGAACGGGGTGATCCTATTCACTATGTCGATCCTAAGGAATACCCTTTGTCCAAAGCTACTCCCATATCTGCCAAAAAGGGTGAAGTTGTCTTCTTCTCTTACCTAACACTTCATGGTTCGTATCTGAACTTGTCTGATAAAACTCGACGCATGTTTCTCATACAAGTGAGAGCTGCCGATGATGAACCGACCCTGGACGTGCATAATTCCCCTTGTCAAGGCTTGATGCTTCGGGGTAAAAATATTTACAAAGACGCATTGATGACCAACAGATATAAATATTAAGCGAATATTCACTTTTAAATCTAATTGAATAAATGAAGAATGTTTTTAGCTAAATTTTAATATGTATAAGCCTGTACATTCAATTATTTTTCTATTCAACGATTTTCCTATTGCTATATCCTTCCTTATTTTCTGAAACTTTATTTTAATCTTACCGAATCTCAAAGATTTTTCTGAAATCATTGACTGATATATATCAAATTATTTTAATAAAGTATCTCTAACACATAAACCAGGTTGTATACATCACTCATTGCAATATAAAGTACTTTCCTTCAAAAAAGTAATTAATACAAAAGTAATTGTCACACTCTCTTGTATTTTGCTCGTTAAAATGGAGGTATTGTCAAATGTTTTGTGTTTCTCTTTCACAACTGCGAGGAAAAAATTAAAGAGCAGCGTGAGAGACAATTCTCGACGAAAATTCATACAAATATTGATTGCTGTCAGTTTTTTCAGATATTTTTTTAACAAATAGCTGTGTCTATTTTTATTGTTACTGTTATTTGCATTCTGACGTAGCCGTTTTTTTTTGTACATGGAGAACAATTAAACGATTCTGAACGTGCAAGAGAAAAACAAAGGACTGAGTTAAAATCTGCGGTGATTTGGCAACAACAATATTGTTATTTAATTGAACGGTGAAGATGTCTGTTCCGGATAGCGAATGTATGTTAACTGTTGTCCAACAAGAGAAACTCCAACATATATTTTGCAGAGGGGAAGAATACAAATGGAGATTGCGAAAAAATAAATACCGAAGTGCGTCCATAATATATCGAATAACGACGAATGTATAGACAACAAAGAGAAAAAAAAGAAAAAGAAAGGAGGGGCTTGTTGTCGAATCGCGATCGCGCCGATACAAATTTCGCGCGCGTTCTTATTCACGTCGCGAGAACTGGAGTCGGACAATTGGAACGAGTGGAATATTCCGCGATTTTTACGTGAACGAGGCGAAACGCGAGCATTTCGGCAAAGTGGGAGGGAGCGAAGGAGCGGAAGAGAGAGATAGAAAAAGTCCGCGGATACGATATTTATCGAGGCAGACGCCGCGATTTCGCGAGGGGAAGCGAAAATCTTCAACGCGCTCGAACACGTCGCGGTTTCTCGCGAGTCTCGGGAGGGTCGAAATCGCGAAAATGCGAAAAGTGGAGGGGGACAGGGACACGAGAAACGCGCGGAAGGTGAACCGCCACCGCCACTAGTGTTGTCGACGAGAAGGGTCGACACCGTCGACTCAAGGAGGTGATCGGAGGTACGTCCACGCTCTTTTTTCTCCCCTCTTCCCCCCCCCGCCCCTCCGCCCCTCCTTCCCCCGCGGACGGCACGGGGGACCGAGAGGATCGCTGATTGCGCGAGCTGGAAACGGACGGCTGGACGGCTGGTGTTCTCGCGTCTGCTCGACGCTCGTGGATACCGTAGCACGGGGTACCCGTGCCGGTGACGGACGCGCGGACTGCTCGCGGGGTGTAGTGAAACACATGTGTCGTGGCCGTGCGGTGTTTTCCACCGCCGCGGACTGCTGCCCGTCGCCGTACCGTCTCGCAGGCTGCGCGAGGTCTCGGGCACGCGGGCCGCGGGAGCTCGGGACGATCGTTCTCGCTGAAGCAGACGCCGCGGTTCACCAGGAGGATGCGCCGCGCTCCGGCGGCGGCCGCGGAGTAGCCAGCAGAAGCGGAAGGCGGTAGTGCGTGCGTGGGTGGGTGGGTGTCTGGGCGACCGCCAACACTCATGCACACGGGATTTCTCCCGTTGTGTGTAACCCCCGCGAATGCGAGCCGAATCGTCGCGGTCGAACTGATACCGATCGCGCCGCCCGACGTGGTGTCGGTGGCACACCCGGAGGAGTGACCCGGTGTCGATCGTCCGCTACACGCGCACGTTGTATTCCCCGAGTGGAAGAAAAAAAAAAAATGAGATATGTCGCCCCTCCGTCTGGAGCGTTTGACGCTGCTATCCGCGCGTTGCTGACTCCACTGGGACGATGACACCGCGATCGAGCCAGCGACAGATCAACCTGGAGAACGGTCACGCACTTCTGCCTTCTGTGTGCCTCGTCAAGAAATAAACGGGCACGACCGAGCCAAACCTGTGTGTCTGTCAGCCATCATGATCGCCCGCGAGTCATGACTTCTGTGCTCCACAATTTCTGACGTCCCGCCCAAGTGGCATGAGTTTGCTCCGCTTGTCCACGTGACACACGTGCCTCAGACTTTTTGTAAATTGTCAGGTCCTCGTTTCGTTGTCGTTGGAGGGCAGAGAAAGGAGATTTCTGGAGTACGAGGATGTTCCTCGCCACTGAGTCTAAACGCTGCGACGTTTCAGGTTTAACTATCTGAGAGAAAGTCAACAAGTTCTGTTATCCTGTTGCGTGCGTCACACGTTGGAAAGTCCAAGTATGAGAGGCCCAGCGGAGGAAAATGGATATCGGTAAAGTATCAGCATGCGCGAAAAGTCAGCAGAATGTCATGCTCACGCAGGTCACGTGAGGGGCACGACAGAGATGTGCTCGCGTGATCCATCTACATTGCACCCAACCCTCGCCAAGGCAAATGGTAAAAATTCAAGTCCCCAGCCGGCTCATCATACCGAGGCACAGCGCATCGACAGCAATCTGCTGCCAACACCTGGAGGTCGCTTGAAATTCTTCAAAGATGGAAAGTTCATTCTGGAACTGTCTCATCGCAGAGACGGAGAAAAGACTACGTGGTTTCCCGTGCCAAAGAAAACCTTTTGGCCACCCGCTAGCACCATCCCGAATCGGCAGGAGAGCTCTACTTCCCTCAGTGGTGGGTCAAAGGAAGCATCGATGCATATTATACAGTTGTTTTTTTTTTATATTTCATTACTTTTCACGTATATTTATTATATTTTCAAAAATTGATTTTGATGTTTATCATTGTTTCCCAGATCTTTTTACTCTGGTTTGCATTATTGTTGTAAAAAGTATAGGCAATAACAATCAATCCAGATAACTCAGACATAACATGTACTCTGCATTCTGTTCTCAGTTTCCGATGACAATTCGTCGGTCCAATCCAGTCCTTGGCAGAGAGATCACTGTTGGAAGCAGACTCATCCCCGACGCAGGATAACCACGGAATTTAATTTTTATTATCGTCGAAATCCGAAGACTCGTTTGTGCGCGCATCTTCGCTTGATAGCGAGGAAACGCAGACGCCCGTTAGATTCCACGACTGTGGTCTCAGTTCCGGAATCAACGGCTAATTCGACGAGATTGTCACGGAAATTGAATGGTACGTCGTCGTCGGGCAAGGTTCTTAGTTTGATCATCGATAAATTAGCGCGCCTGCTGGATCCTAACGTCGTGTCACCTCGCAAACGTATACTGCGAGAGCTGGAGAGAGTCTCGCTGGAGGATCAGGCGTCCAAGAGACGGGCCACTCCACAGCCGGTTTGCACAACGAGTGCGCCGCCGACTCCCTCTTCGAAGCAAGTGTCATCATACAGTATAACGAGTATCCTGGGGGAGGACAAACCGAGTCCCGAACCGGGTTTCTTGAGGACATTGTTGAAGCCGGACGACCGGCAGCCTGTGAAATACTCATCGACTAACGCCTATCCGAGGGTACGAATCGATCCCTACATCGGATCCAGCAATACATCCGTTCATCATCCGCTCTACGGGATACCAATGTTGCCACCTGGACCGTACAGAGCGGCGCCTTTATGGATGGCGCCTCATTATCCGTCTCCCGTCCACTATCCGCCTCCTATGCAATTGTACGCATCGCCGCATTCTCATCCGTTGTCCCCACATTACAAAGACTACAGGGAACAAACTCTCACACCTCCTTCAGGTATGTTCATTTATGTATCATAAACAAAATAAGTATCGGGACAATTAGGTCATTCGAAAATGTTTGACTCTATTTTTCATTTGCAGATATGCCTCTGAATCTGTCGAAGCATGCGGGTTGAATCTCAGGATCCCAATAGAGTTGGTGCCTTATGAGTGGACAAAACACTACGCAAACACTGCCCGTGCAACGACAATGCGATATATATTAGTATTTTTTTATTCATAAAACAATAGTATCTTAGTAAGTAGAGAAAAAGAAAGAGAGAGAAATAGAGAGCGAGAGAGAGAGAGAGAGAGAAAGAGATACAGATATGATGAAGCCAGATAGTTGGATTTTGGGAGAGCTATACTTGTACATACAAATGCATAAATTTTTGTCAATGGCGGCATAGGTATTTTATATTAATATTAAACGCAAGATTCAAAAAGAAAAAGTCATGAGTGGTAATATACAAAAAAACGTTATCGATAAAAAATGCAATTATAAGTGTGTGTATACATGTTACACATATTTTTATTATACGCGACCTGCAAGTAAAGCGAGTGAAAAGCTTTCTACAAAAAAAAGAAAAAAAATGAAAGAATCGATACGCGCGGTTTTTTTTTTAAGACGATCGTAATTAGTCAACGCGGGAATGTATTAGCAATCGAACGAGTCATTCATATGTTTTTACTTTCGACATTACTACTCATATTTTATATATCGCGATGAAGATGGGTGAGCACACGTAAACCTGTGTACGAGCAGGTCTCATCCTGTACATCTCATTTATGCATTTTCCCGTTATTCTTATAACGTTACTATCATTATTATCTCATTAATGAAAAAAAATGGTACATTATCTTAAAGGAATCGATAAGAAAGACATAGGATTATGTACAGAACAGATTATTGCCTCTATATCTCTAGCGCATTAATTATTCTTAAAGATAGAAATGCATAATAAATTTAGGCTCTAATAGAATATATCCACAATGGTATACAGTTATTTATATGATATTATATATAACGCAAAAAATACGGGAGAGAGAGGAGGGAGATAGATAGATAGAGAGAGAGAGAGAGAGAGAGAGAGAGAGGACACAAAATTACTTTGGTAACGACCGTGGGGTGTGCCTTACAGATAATTAACGAAATTCCATGAAATTAAATTATAAACGTTCTTGCGGATGTGTATTATTATAAAAGGAGGCACTATATATATTATGTATATAATAAATATATCTTTGTGTTACGTGTATTTTCATCAAATCGACATTTCGTTGCTCTATTTATTATTAGTCAGGCGCATCGAAAAACATTTTCACGAGAAAGCAAGGCAAGCTCGCACAGGTTCTACAAACAAATGAGTAATTTTAATTGTTCAACGCGTACGCGATTCTCTTTAGCGATTCCGACAAAATGGAGAAGTATGTGACTGCGCATTAGCAATTGTATAGAAAAAGACTAATTTCGTAAATATAAATATTTCATATACTACGCACAAACATTATTTCATTCTCCATGATCTCTCTACAACCTAAAACCTAGAATATTCTCTTTTAGCGATGATTATTATACTGTTCAATGTTTCGTAGAAGTTGTTTATTCAGTTATACATTATATACATTGTTATTTATATTACTCATTACAATCGCAACAATTACTTTATAAAAGCGAACCACGATAGGACCTGACATATTGCGGCGATTTAAAAAAAAAAACAAAAACAAACTAAATCTGGGCTAATGAGAATCAGCGCAATAAAATTTTAACAAATAAATATGTTACTCCATACGAAGCGTTGATGTCATCTTTATTTAAAATCTTGAGAAATCTTGAACGTTTCGATTCTTTTTGGAATCTTCATCAGCAATCTTCTTCCATCCATATTAGAAGAACGCGAAATCTAATATGGATTAAAAAGATTGCTGATTCCAAAGAGAATCGAAACATTCAAGATTTCTCAAGATTTTAAATAAAAATGACATCAACACTTCGTATGGAGTAACAAATTTATTTGTTAAAATTTTATTGCGCATTTCCGCTCGCGCTGATTTTCATTAGCCCAGATTTAGTTCGTTTTTGTTATTTTAGAGAGAGAGAGAGAGAGAGAGAGAGAGAGAGAGAGAGAGAGACCTTGTTTAACATATTTATTAAAAAAAAATCGTCATCGTTTTTATTTTAAATACAAGGTGATCACTGGACTTTTATCATAACAAACACTCACATTTTAAAATAAGGATCAGTAAAGTTTTTTTTTGAAAAGCCACTCCTTTTTAAATATTAATAAAAAATTATTACATGTATAATATACTCATATATGTATAATGTATATTCTTCAGTTGTTATATTATATTACAAAAACAAATAGAAAGAGAAGGATTTAATTTAAGTATAAATTGCTAAACAAATAATGGATTAAAACGCATAACTGTTCATTACATTACAATATGAAAATATCTAATAGTTAGAAGTGTGCGGGATCTCAAAATTTCTGAAACCTGATGCTTGGAACGGGATGGGAAGACGGATTGGGTTGAGATGCGATCCTAAAAATTTCAGGATTTTCGAAAAGATTTTGGATTTCCCGAGAATCTTCGAGATATCTGATACTGTATCTTTTAATATTGTTTTTCTATCAATCTATAATATTAGTATTTCTAGTACTGGATTGTTTCCGAAATATGCAATATTTTTACTTTTCTGTCTTTATCTATGATAAAAGAGCCTGCTGTATGATTTATATTAAAACAGAAAATTTTGTAAAATAAAACTCAACAACAGAAATAAAAAATCTGAAACTACGACCATATTCAATAAAACAGATACATTCTACTTGAATTCCAACATTTTTAGAAATCCCGAACATTCTCAGGAAACCCGAATATTCTTGGGAAAGCTGAATACTCTCTTGAAAGTTACAAAATCCCGTCCACAGCGCCAATTTGTCAATTCATAAGATCTTATTCTGAGTTAGTCTAATGAAAAAATACCAAGATTCCAGCCTCTGTGAGTGGCTGTGGTCAATCGCAACGTGGTAAAAAAATAGCAACTGTGGCCGTTTAATTAAATATAAAATTAATTACATATACACTTTAGGTTTAACATAATAAAATTATATTTACATCATAATTATTTACGTCTATATTACAATTAATTATTTACAGGAAATCGATGTAGAGAGATTTATATTTTCATTTATATGGAAAAAAATCTTTTTCATGAATTTTTTATATGTATCCAAAAGTTATTATAAAGATACTACTTATATTTAATAAAAATAGAAATTTGAAAAGTTCGAAAACTGGCGCGAATTGAACAAAGATGGTGGACCAATCACAAGCAGCAGTCCGCAGAATAAACATGTAGGGTCTTCCACTGGGAAAACTAGTGCAACACAGGGTGCAATTGAAAACACAAATCATCTATTTTCAGTATTAATAAATAATTCAATCCTTTCAATTAAGTATTTTTTATCGTCGCAACAATTTCATCACCTTAAAAGAATTAAATTATTTATTAATTACACTAAAACACACTAAACCGATTTGCACTCAATTGCACTTCAAGCTAGTTTCTTAGTGAAAAACACAATTGGATTAGAAAATATCCCTAGACGGTACGTTCTACGTTTCACGCGATCTTTACAGCGGCGCTGGTGTGCTCCGCTTTGAGCGTTCGCCTGGTTCGCCATTCGACTATCGGTTATTTCTCCATTACTCGGGCCGGAGAGCGTTAGCTTCTCGCGACTCGCACAGCCGCGAGTTGGCCCGAAGGACGCGTTATACGACGCGGCGAACGGTGTTCGTAACGCCGCTCGAGAGTGAACGGGTGAGTGATATTCGTGGACGGAGAGTCGCGAACGGACTCACAAGTGCGTGGTGTTTGTTCGTTCGGGTCTGGTCGGGTGGCCGGGGCACTCCGGCGTAGCCTTCATCCGCGTTAGCGGCTCGCGCTCGCCGACACGAAAATGGCGGGCCATGATGTAGGCCTCGGTGATACGAGCGGCAGTAGCGGTGGCCGTCGCCGACGTTGTTAGCCTTCGGCATCCTCGGGGGGGAATATCACGACCGCACGTGAGTCGGCAGTCGCGTAAATCGCCGACTGTACGCGTCGCGTACGGCAGATTTTCCCGCCCTCCAGTTGTTGCGTGTCGCTCGCACGCATTCACGCACGACACGCACGTTCGCTCGTTCTTCGTTCGTTCTTCGTTCGTTCATCGTCGGGTAGCGTGTCGTTGAAAACGGAACGAACCGAACTGAACTTGAACAGCGGAACGTTATACCTGTGCAGAGTGTTGTGAAAATAACAGTTTGATGGTAAGCACGCACGTAGTACACCGGTTTGAAAAAGAGAGAGAGAGAGAGAGAGAGAAAAAGAGAAACAGACAGAGGGACACCGTGTGAACCCCCGCAGGACTCCGCAGGCAGGCTGGAGGGAGGGAGGGATTAAAGGAGCGAAAGAGACAAAGAGGAAAGAGGGAGAAATAGAGGAGGACGGAGATAGGGCAATAGAAAGAGCGAAAACCTCCCCCCTCCCCTCCCCCCCTTCTCCACCCTCGGGGAAACAGAGACAGACGGGCAGAGGACGCACTGGTGACTGGCGAGGCAGACCGGAGCGAAAGTTTGGTAGTACCGGATCGACGATGAGCAAACAAACACACTATGGAGTGACTATGCAGTGAGATGTTGACCGTATCGTTCAGTTGACGGGAGAGATAGAGAGAGCGCGAGAGAAAAAGAGAAGGTAGATTCGAGTCCACGGGGGAAACTGCCAGAGTAAGAGCGATAGAGGGAGAGGGAGAGAGAGAGAGAGAGAGTGTGAGTGTGAGTGAGACGGAGGTAATTAGATAGAGAGAGGTGCGAGAGTGCCGCGATCAGCGGCAGCGACCGCGAGATTGTAACACACGTTGCGGAGGACGACGAAGTCTTGATGCCGATGCCGGCCGAATACCACGAGGGCCACGGTAACCACGAGAACGCAAATTTCGCTCTCGGGTCCACGCAGGACGCCAACAACATGACGGCCAACATGTACCGGGTGGGAGGTAAAGTATAACCGCATGCATTCCGCGGCTCTGTTATCCCGATGAGAAAGACGACGATTGTCGGCGACAACGGTTTTAACGGTGCTCGCTCTCGTCGTCGACATCGTCTTCCTCGTCATCCCCGTCTCGTTCTCGTGAATTCGAGAAAGAGAGAGGAAGAGAGAGAGAGAGAGAGAGAGAGAGAGAGAGAGAGAGATCCGAAACAAGGAGCGAGACAGAGAGATAGCGGCTTTAATTAACTCCGAGAAATTAATGTTTGCAAATGGCATCGCAATGGCGTCCCCTATACCCTCCTCGCGCGGCGCGTTCTTCCCCCTTCCCCTCCCGCTTTTGCCGCTCGCCCCCGCTTCCCGCGCGCCCTCTCTTCTTTCCACTCTTCATCTGGATCTCCCTCATACTCTCC